TTGAACCCGCTATTGTATGTTCCCAACTAATTAAACAACTTATATACGTTTTATATTTAATTTAAGGAATAGGTATCAAATGATTCTTTAGTAGACTTACTATGGATGCATGTATTAAAACATTATTTAAACGACTAATAAATAATTAACTGCTTGTTATATTTAATTTGTAGAGGTTTCGTCATACAATGAGGGCAATGCAAGGAGCACTTATGATCTCTTCACTTCTTCCTATTATTCTTGGATTCCTTGGTATTTGGAGAATCGTTGTCAGGTTTCTTACTTTTCTATATAAATGTTTTTAAATACTTGACTGGTTCATGCAAAAGTCGTTTCTGATAAATATTTTAGCCAACTATTTCATAAAAATTATATTTGTGGAATCCAAGTATTAAAATTTAATAGATTATTTCATAAATAAATAATTATAGAAAAAGCAACCAACTTTTTTCTATTTTTTATTTAAAATAATTATAAAAAAAGAGTGTTGAATATATTTATTTCAAAAGTATATTTATAATAAATAACTAAAATCAATTTAAGCGAAATCATGCCCCGATAGTTAGTTGTTCATATATGGTTTTGCGGATTATGCAATATCCGTTACCCAATAAACAAACGCATAACTCAATTGATTGCTATATCAAGTTGCGTCATGGAATCAAACTGAATTCAAACGGGTACTCATCGCAGTGAATTGTGAATCGACTGAATTTGGGATTTATTCGATGATTGTAGGTTCTTGAGTCCTCTATCCGCCGTTCCTCTGGTAACCCTCGTCGGACTTGGTCTCTATGCACAAGGATTTCCACTCGTAAGCAAAATACTTTCTTTACTTCGTTTAGGTTTTGTTTGGTAACTCTTTGCTTTCGATTAAAACGTCAGCTCTTATTGCTCACATTAACGGATTGTTTTGTAACCCTTGGATCTATTTGTGGGACTGGATTACTGTTTTACACACATATCACCCCTTTCTAATAGATTACTCTCTTGAATCTTGATGCTTTTGTAGTTGGCAGAATGCGTTGAGATTGGGCTTCCCCAGTTAATTCTACTAGTTCTCTTCTCCCAAGTGAGTTCGTTTTCTTGATTAATATCAATTTTTTCCCCAACTTCTCATTCTTCAGTTATGTAATTGATTTGTGACGATTTATTATTCACAGTATGTCCCTTACTGGTACAAATCAAAGTGGCTTGATCGATTTGCTGTCCTTATCTCTGTCGCAATTGTATGGGCATACGCATCCCTTCTTACAGCAGCTGGCGCTTATAAAACTAGATCCCCCATCACTCAGTTCAGTTGTCGTGTGGATCGCTCTGGTCTTGTAAGCGCTGCTTCATGGTGAGCCACATAGGATTAAGGCCCTGTATAAGCTGACTTACTTTTTGAGCTTATTGCAATTTAGTGTTTGGTAAAACCACAAAAGAAAGTTATCATAGCTTATAAGCTAGCTTTTCAGCTAGCACACCAAACACAGCGTAACATAGTTCTTCATGGCTTATATTCATCATGTTCATTTGTTTTATGAATTTTCTTGTTGCAGGATAAAGTTCCCTTATCCACTCCAATGGGGTCGACCCACTATTCATGCTGGAGATGTTTTTGTAATGTTAGCAGCTGCTTTTGTGTCTCTAATCGAGGTCTGTAATTCTGTATATTGCTTTTCATTAAAATCCCATTTTGAAAATTTAAATATGAAATTCGGGTTGCAGTCAACAGGCACATTTATTGCAGCAGCAAGATATGGGAGTGCTACACATGTTCCATCTTCTGTATTAAGCCGTGGAGCTGCTTGGCTGGTGAGAAGTGATTGTGTTATTAGTTTTTTAGACCGGGATGAAAAGGGTATTAACGTCTTTTGCACAGATGAGATATCGAAAGAGAGTCCCTATCTCACCTTGCTCAACTTTTTAGGGTAGGAGAAAGAATCACATTCCTTATCTCATTGACAGTCCCAGTCCAATGCATGTCATGTCAGATGCAATACAACTTGTTCTGTTCTGTCATGTCAAACACAGTACAACCTGGATGATGTTAGTTTCTAAACACATATTAATCTTTTTCCACAAAATCTTACAGGGAATTGGTATATTGATGGATGGGTTATGGGGTACAGGAACCGGCTCAACTGCATCAGTGTATAAAATCAACTGAAATGACTTTTATCTTTCTAATAAAAAAATTCACTTTCCTTTTCATCCATGAATGATGTATTTATTTTTTTTGGCGTTTTTTCATAGTGAAAACGTAGGTCTTCTAGCTGTAACTAAAGTAGGAAGCAGAAGAGTGATACAAATGTCTGCAGGTTTCATGTTCTTCTTTTCCATTTTAGGTTTGTTCTTCTGTCTCCATCTTCATCATGCTCCAATATCTCCGTTATTTTAAAAAAAATTAATATATTTTCTCTTGCTTTAAACAGGAAAATTTGGCGCGATTGTAGCTTCCATACCTTTACCAATCATTGGAGCGCTATATTGTGTCTTGTTTGCCTACATGTGTAAGTATAATTCTTGATCTTCAACACTCCCTTCATCCAACAAAAACCACAATACATAGATTTTTAAATATATGTATCGTGACTTGACATAACAGATTGTACTTTCTTCTTTCTGTACTATTTACTTACTTTACTGTGAGACTGATATCACTAAGACAAAAATTAAAAATTGCAGCTTCTGCTGGCCTAGGGTTACTACAATACTGCAATCTTAACAGTTACAGAACAAAGTTTATCCTGGGTTTCTCACTCTTCATGGGTCTTTCCGTCCCACAATATTTCAACGATTACGTGGTGACAACTGGAGCAGGCCCTGTTCGCAGTAGATCCACTTGGGTATATAACAGAAAAAGTTCACTCCATTTTTTTTTTCTATTAAAAGAAATTAAAATATGATTTTTTTTTTTCTTATTTACAGTTCAATGAAGCGATGTTGGTGATATTCACATCTCCAGCAACAGTGGCGGCTATTGTGGGTATGTTTCTTGACAGGACTCTGGGGTATAATCACAAAGATGTAAGAACAGATGGAGGAAGACATTGGTGGGGAAAATTTAAGTACTTTGAAAGAGATGTGAGGAGTGCTGAATTCTATTCCCTTCCTTATGGACTTTCTAAGTACTTTCCTTCTGTTTGATTCTTGATTTTGTGTTTATTATTATTTTGAGATTTGAGATACATTCATTCCAGCCTATAGAAAAGAAAAGCATTTAGCTTATTTGTAGGCTTTGTAGTCTTGCGAATACGACTGTTTGTAACGAAAGAATGTATCTATTAATATTCCAATGTATCAATATCATGACATGCCTTATCTTATTTTTCTAAGATGGCTCTTATTCATAGACGCGCACAAAACGGGTCCTGAGCCCAACGGAAATGTCTTAACTGGGCCTATAATGATAGGTTTTGGGCCTGCTCCAAAAATTGTATAACCAGTGTAGAGGTGCACATAACATATACAGACTTTGAACGGGTTTTCTCTGGACAGGTGTCGGTTTTAATCGGTTTGGTTTTTTAGGGAGGTGGAATTGCGTTAAAAATTGGTTTGGTTACGGTTTAAAAACTAGTAAAAAAAATTGTTTTCGGTTTTGTGGGGTGAGTTATAAAACCGATTAACTTTCTGCCCCCTCTAAACCGGTGAGGCCCAGTCCTTTTTATATAAAAAATGATTGATCTTTATACAGTTATCCTACTATGTTTGAGTCATCCTTTTGTATTTTGGTTATTGACGGAATTTTGTTTAAGGGAGAAATTCTCCTTAAAATGGTATTGAATATGTTCAACGATTGTGGGCAACACGATTTTTATTTTTTCAATACATTTTTAGTCATTATATTTTCTTTCTTTTCAAAATGGTATAAAATATGTTTATTTTCAAATTGAATAGTTTTAGGTGGTGCATTGTTTTAAACATGTATATAAGGTTGTCTCGTTCATTATAATAAGCATATAAATTCAACTTCTACTTATGAATGTTTTTTGGTGGCCCATTGTTTTTAACATGTATATAAACTTGAAGTCATATCTTTTTAAATTTTTGTTTGATTTGTAGAGAATTTGAAATATATCGATGCTAAATGACAAAATAATCTTCTTCTTTTTTCAATTTTTAATTATTACATGTTTGTGCTATAAATTCTAAAAAATAAATTATAAATCATTATAATCTTTAAATATTGTTTTTTATGTATGATTTTTTAATTATAAAAGTTGGTTATTCTATAAAAATGATTATTTTAGACCAAGGCTACCACTATAAATTACACCATTTTTGTGTAAAAATCTCACAAAAAGATTTTCAATTCCAACCACACACTAAAAAATAACACTAAAAACATATTTTACTATTATAATTATAAAATAATATTTTCTTTAATATTATATGATTTCATTTAACTTAATTATTATAATATATAAATTACTAATAATGATAGTATTAATTGATAAAATAAGGAATTTTCATATATTATGTTATGCTTGTTAAAGTTTAAATTTTAAATATATATTTAAGTTTGTAATATAATGAACTCATAATGTATTAATTATTTGATTTTGCTAAATTACTAAAATTATAAATATATAACAAAGAAGTATGATTTCTTATTATTATAAAAAGGATAAAAATAATATATGTAATATTATATATGTATATATGTTTAGCGCCATTTTGCTGGCTCACTATAGCATTACACCATTTTCTCCATTTTCTATTCAAACCTAGTCTAGTGTTTATATATATATATATATATATATATATATATATATATATATATATATATATATATATATATATATATTAAAATTGTCAATCCTTAACTACAGTAAAGTGGCTAAGGATTTGACAAAAGTGGTCCCTTATGTATGAGTGTCTTTGCAATGCTTTCTCATTTGTTATTTGTTTTTGTAGATGGTCAATTTATGTCATTATATAGTTTGTCTGTTTACACGTGTTCTTTTTAATTTGGTTCATCTTTTTTTTTTTAACTAATCATCTTTGGATTGATGTTACTGACATCTCTGGTAGAAGCACCGCCTCAAATGCTTGGATACATTTATTCCTCTTTCGTCTTCCCCCTTTTGCGACAATATCAACAAACCTCATCGATCAACAAACCCCTTCCAGGATTGCTTCCAAAATTGAACGACGGTTTCTCATCGCCTGGTACAACCGACCGGGTTTCGCTTCCATTTTATCTGTTTTGGTTTATACAAGGCCATCGTCTCCCCCTATTCATTTACAGATCGTGAACGGGAGAAAATCACAAGACCAATTTATCTCCCATGTCTACCTGATTAGTACTAAGGAATGAAAGTATAAGGGTGGGGGTCAGAATTCACAGTAGCAGTTCATGGTTGCGGTGACTAGGCGGTAGCAGCTCGGTGAAGGCGGGTGTGACCAGGACTCTAGGCAGTGGCGACAGTTAGTGGCGATGGCAGCTCCGCTGCTTCCACTTTCCTATTCCGATGAGTCCGACGAGAGGGAAAGACAGAGGCCGGAGGTTGAGGAATTTCGATGAGGGGCTGGTCACGGTGGTGGCAGGAGTTGCTCCAACGGCTCCCGTTGCTTTGTTCCCGACGATTTCGTCGAGTGGGAAAGGGCAGGGAACAATCCGATCACCACACACGAGTTCGGTGGTGAATTTAGGTCAAGAGATAGTGTTTCTTGGATGGTGCTCGCTTGGCACAACAACACCACCACCACCACCATCACATGCCTTCTTCTTCTGAGAATCGTTGACTTCAAGTTCTACGGTATGAGCAACCTGTCGATTCTGCATCTCCTTGCAAATCCAGTTACGATACTGATCGATTTTGCTTTGCACACCTCCAATTGTAGAAATCATGTATCAACCAAAGAATGCCCTAAGCTTTGATGTATATGTAAGAAGTGAAATCTGTACATGCTCAATCGACAATTTTTTCCTGGTGATTGTTCATTTTGTTCTCCATCTACCTATTGCATTGATTTCTTTTATTCCTTTTCGTCATTTGGTTTATATTTGTTGTTACAAATGAAGATGAAGCTACTAACATGATTAATAATTTTCCAAAGGCCTTTGGTTTATATTTGCGGGCTCATCTGTCGAGCAAAAGAAAAAGGAAAACGAAGGCAACATGGTTTCAGGTAAACATTTTCAGTTAATATGTTTGGTTTTCCTTCTTTGGCTAATCGGAAGAAAAGAGACATGAAATTGATAGCAGACAAACAAACAAATTTCTTTGATGGTTGATGGGTTTGAGGTATGTATTCTTCTTTGAATCTTTTACATTTGATTATTTTGGAAACGATTTGCCTATGAATAGGGAACTATATTTTGTAGGAAAATATATATATTTGGCTCTCCGGAGTCCAACCAAGAATTAGCAGTTGTCTCTCCTAACTCCACAAGTACGTTTAAATAGTCTCTTTTATGTATTATTGCTTTTTTGTGTTTTAGGTTCTTCTAATTTCAACTGCCAATGGTTTTTGGGTATCATATGACTTATATGTTTTTTTATTCTTTAGTTGTTCCTCTGTGCCATCAAGAGCAACAAAAGGGGATATATTCCATAGTTTAGATTTTAATATTCATTTAATTTAATTAGATGTTTTGTTTTATAATATCACACCCCAAAACCACGAACGACGGAAACGTTCAGGGGTGGAGGACGTCATGTACAGTATCACAATAGTGTAAAATAGTAAACAAGCAACAACATCATCCATTGCATTATAAGTAAAGTTTTAATACATGTGTGTTCTTTCATTGTAAATAAGACACCAAAGATATAATCAAAATAAAAGACGACACTTGTCTGCTCTGTCTTCTCAAAACCTGGCCTCCGTACCTGTCTATTGATGACCTGAGAATACAAGTTATTTTGAAAGAGAGTATCAGCTTTAAAGCTGGTGAATTCATAAGTATTTAAGTGTCATTGACTTGCTTTGAAAAGTTGTTTGAAAAGTCATGTAAATCTTTAAATGAAAATGTTGATGTAAGTATGAAAAGCCATAGAAAATCCCTTATTTTCTATCAGTGTGAGATGTAGTCTTCTACCAAGACCCGAATGTTTTGTAAGTAAAATGATAGTTTTTCCTTCTATTGACTAGTACTAAAGTACTTAGTCTAACTCATCGTTTATGTGAAAGTATCACAAAATAAAGTAAACAGGAAAATGTACTATTGTAAGTGTTGTCACTGGGTACTAGGACTAACACAACATCGCGTTAAGCGAAAAATGCAACCTAATGAACATCCGAAGATTGTCCACAAAAGTAATAATGTAAGTGTCATCGCTGGGTACTAGGAGTAACACAACATCGCAATAAGCGAAAAGTATAACCTTATGAACAATCGAAGATTGTGTACTTGTCCTCTATAGCAGGAGCAAGTGGGTGGAGGGGTTACCCCCGATTATCGATCTTCCTAATATAAATAGTAACCTTAGACCTCCATAGATGGTCATCGACCACTAGTGCTAATCAGTGGGGTTTGGAATGGTAAGTCCCGCCGAGATATCCCATTGAACCGGGATAGGAAAGATAATTTACACAGAAAGTACTAATAAATCATCCTCGTAGTTCCAAGTACAAGTATCCAGGTAAGTGATTACAGGATAATGCATCTATGTAACAGTGTTCATGTATGGTATTCATGTATGTGTGTTTATGTATCAGGTAAGTATATGTAAACATGTTCATGCATCAGGTAAGCATATGTATATGCACTCATGTATCAGGTAATGTACTGGTATAGACTCATGAATGAACTGACTCTTGTGTGATTCCTTGTAATAGGAATAATGTTTGATAACTTCAAATTATCCCTATGATAATTTACTGAAATGTAATTAGTTGATCAAGTAGGTTTATACACTCTTACTACTCAAGGGTGTGGGACTCTAAATGAAAGATGTATACTATAACATCAGTACATATATAAAATATAAGCGTACATGCATAGTTTAGTTCAAGAATGAAAAATGGTTTTGTAAGACATCCAAGGGTTTTTGAACAAACAATAAAGTGACTTGATGTCATTTTGATAAACATTTCAAAAGTAATACATTTGATAACAAAGTATTTTAAAGATAGAAAACTATTTCATGCATCACATTTTGTAGTATGTGAAATCTGTTGAATGAAAACACAGTTATAAAATACATATAGATGATTTAATAACATACTGTTTTCTACTTGTATTCCCCCCCCCCCATTAAAGCATTTAAAATCATTTAAAACATTGATTAGGGGTATGAACTCACATGTAGTTGGTAGTTTAGATGAACTGGACGGTGTAGGATTGTTAGGTGTCAAGTGAGGACTTGTACACACACTACGATCCTAATGAACATATAATCACACATATATACACTCAATTAGTCTTAAATTACTAATTAATAATGTTAAGACATCCTAGAACAAAATAAACACTTTATATAAGTGTTTTAAGCCCTAAGGATTGCATCTAATCCATTGTGGGACAAGGCACTTGTGTTTAGGGTTCCAAGGGACCCCATATATGTGTTTACTCTTCAAATACGAACACACACGGAGTTTAAGGTTGTAAACTCTTGAGTTTACGGCCGTAAACTCCCAACCATGGGGGTATTGTGTGTTTTGAAGTTCCAAATGATTCCTAGAATTATTCCAACTTGGTGGTTAAATTCTTGGAAGGGTTTAAGACCTAGAAACACTCCTTTGAGGAGTTTACGGCCCTAAGGCCATATTCCTTAGAGTTTGCGGCCGTAAACTCTTAAGGATGGGTGTTTTAGTTATTTTCAAGTCTCATGCACAAGTGGTATAGGTTCTAAGCTTTTATTCCAAGCATATGAAGACCCTTGACACACTTTGGTGCCCTTTTAATGAGTTTACGGCCCATGAACCATGTCATGACCGTAAACTCACTTTGTAAGGTGATTTTTTTTTGTGTTTAAGGCCCTTGATTTAACGGGAACAAGCCTAGGTAAAAGTCTAAGGCCTTAGGTGCCTTAAAAGCACCATTTTAGGCATGAACGTTGGAGTTTACGGCCTAAGATACTCTTGGCCGTGAACTCCTAAACTTGGGTGATCCTTGCTTGATTTTATGTCCCTAATACACTCCTATATAAGTCCAAGGCAGTAGTATAGCACAGGGGGACAGTCTAGGCTCGGTTTCGGGAGTTTACCGCCCAAGAACACCTTGGGGAGTAAACTCCTAAATCTAGTGATTTAGCCTTCTAAATCATGTTATGAACACATATAAAGCTTTCTAACATTACTAGAAAGAGTTACTCACGTTTTGGTATAAAAACCCGAAGATCCGTGAGAGAGAAAATGGTTTTTCTCTAGTCGGAAATGCGAATAATAAATGTATTTGGTTCAAAATTCTATTTATAGTCCTGAGATATTTTTGGCTGAAAATATTGTTATTCCTGAAATGATATTTAATATAATAGAGTGTTGGAATAACAGTGTTGCACAAAACCCTAGGCCCACTCTCTTGATATTTCCTGAAGTGTAAACCCTAAATTACTCAAACTTACACGAAAAAGTCTGAAAATTAACTGTGATTGCTATAACTTCTATTGAAATGATATAGTTTGTACAAAATGGAAATTTCGGGTTGTCACATATAATTACTTGATAAAAAGCTCTAATTATGTTTCAGTTTTTCGTTTTATTCTACAGTATTTGGTTGCAATTTGAAGGTTCACAACTGTGAAACTAAATCAATAGATGGTGAACACATGAAAACCAATCGCTCAGAATTACAAGAAGCCTCACTACAACTCTTAATGTTCTCATTGTTAATAGGTGGTGAACTGACAACCATACCCACATGATATGGTTTGATGGCAACCAATTTAATTTGTTCAATACTAACTTTTTATAAATTTGTTTTTCATTTATTTATTAGAGTGTGGTTATTTTATTTTATACAAAAAGGGTTAATTAAGCTTTTTTTTTGTAGGTTGGGGGATGGAGACAAGTATATGGTCATTTACATATATTTTATTGATGTTTTGGTACTATATTAAATAAATGTGAGCTTTTTATAACTTTTTTTTTATCAAACAATTAGTAGTTTTATATCACTTTTAGATTTGCACGAGTTCACATTTAAGCTTTTTAAACATTTATTGCTTTTCAATATAAAAATGTGAGATCTTTAATGCATTATAAATACCGATATTTGTTTTCCTTGTGCACAGGTTCCGGACAACTTTTGAATGTTGATAAATGGTTACTGCTTTTTAATCAAAGGTACATTGCTATTATGGGTTAAAACCGAAGCATAGTGCCTATATTTGTATATGAATTAAAATTATAAAATTACAATTAAAAAAATAGATAATTTGTTTCAACTTTTTATGGAGTTTTCTTTTCAGGTCTTCATCTTATAAAACATTCGATATATGGTTCTTCAAGGTATGTGAAGCTAAAAAAGTTGAACATGAAACTCACTTAGAAAGAAAAAATATCTGATGTACCAAGAGATGAATATGATGATATGCTTCATGCCCTAAATCCTTGACATTATAAAGAATTCAAATTAAGGAAGTCATGGGTTTTGTATTAGATAACATGGAAACTGCTGGAAAGATAAATATTCCAGTTTGTATTTCACATCTGGTAAGGGTAAGATAGTCATTTATATAAAACCAGTTTTTTAGTGTATTAGTATTCCTTTGTTTCTTAATCAGCTTTATTGGTTAATGATGTATTTTCCAAGCAAGCATCAATATATTAGATTTCCTCCAAATGC